AAGGAAGGAAGGAAGGAAGGAAGGAAGGAAGGAAGGAAGGAAGGAAGATACTTGAACTCTCTTAGAGCTCAAACCATCTCATGAGCTGATTATTAAGTTTTCCCTGTGAGCATTTGCACCTTGGAAATCAGCAAATGCTTGTTTTATTGTTATGTCGATTGTCTATGCTTAAGAAAGTGATGAAGAAAATCTTAATAATGCAGATTAAACATAAAAATGGGTACTTGTTTTTTTCTTCTTCTGGAGAACTGGTCATTAAACCTTACCTGCAAGCCAGCCACCAAGTGAGTTGGACAAGATGGCCTGAGGCACTTAATACAACTCCTAGTACCAACAAAGTATTTAAATGGATGCTGACTCACTGATTGACTAAGGCTCTTTCCATTTCTGAATTTCTGTAATTCTGTCAGTCTTATCCACCCACCCCTCTGTTGCTAAATCAGTATTTTTGATTCCTAGTACATAAGGCTATTTGTGGGCCATACTGGCAAGTTAGGATTCAGGTTAACACTTGTCAGAGAACTCTTCTGGGGAGGGATCAGCAGTTGTAGAGTATGGGCCTCCTCCCTAAGTTAGCAGCCAGGAGACACAGTGACTAAATTGCTGGGCCTGGAATTAGGAAGATCTGAGTTCAAATCCAGCCTCAGACACTTACTAGCTATGTGACCCTGAGCAAGTCACTTAACTCTGTTTGCCTCAGTTTCCTCATCTGGAAAATGAGCTAGAGAAGGAAATGCAAATCACTCCAGTATCTCTGCCAAGGAAACCCAAATGGGGCGTTGGACGTGCCGAAACAACTGAACAGTAAGAACAAGCCTCCTTTTTAAGGAAGCAGCTAAGAATGGGAAGTAAGTAATCAGCCTCTGAAATTCCAGGAGGACTAGTCAGCTGGATCAGTGCCCCAACTACAGGGAAGGCCATTATATCCCAAAGCAGTCCAACTTCCCCACTGAAATAGAAAGGAAGGAAGAAAAACAGAATATTGCTCTGTAGCAGAAGTAGGCCAAGCCAGGAAATGGATTCTGTAGAGAATGGAAAGGTTGTGTATATGTGTGAGTGTGATTGTGTGTTTGTGTGCATGTGTGCGTTGGTGTGCATAAATAAAGGAGGCAGTATGGGGTACAGTAACACTTAGTATTGGATTTGGATTCATTGGAATCGAATTCAAATCCCAGCTCTGCATCTTAATACTTTGTAGAAGGACATGGGCAGTATTTTGTTATTCCTTGGCCTCAGTTTCCTCATCAGTAAGGACTTTGATGACATTTCTAAGTTCCCTTTCAGTACTAAATCTGTGGTTTCACTTTCAAACTTCCAAATATTCAACCAAATTAAATTATTTTAAAAGGTGTTGGGAAAAATTCACACATGGTAGGAATCGAATATATAAGTTTTATAAAAATCCTATTCCCATAAAAGTAACAGGACGAGTTATTTCTTCCATTCTCTTGTAGGTTTTTTAATGTTCTTTTTCATGGAAAGAGTACTGCTGCCCTCTGGTGTTTCTGAAAAGAGGCCTGCAAGACAAGCTCTGTTCAGGCCTATAAAGGGAGAAATAACTCCAACTGAAACACATATATGTAATGCACCCAAAGGACACTCAGGCTTTGACATTTGCATACTAAAAAGCCTTAGGACTTACAGGCCTTTCCTTCGTTTCAGCTGCTAAATGCACCTCTCTATGTTATCCTCTCCCATTAGTCTGGGAGCTCTGGAAGAGAAGGGATCATCTTGCTTTTCTATTTGTGTCTCCAGGGCTTAGTACTGTGCTTTGCACAGAGTAAGCACTTAATAAACGCTTTTTCATTCATTCATATAAAATACGACTCCCTCTTGCCTTGAGAGAAGCCGACCAGCTAACAAAAAAAGCATAAGCTTCCCCAAGCTGTGAGCTGGACCTTTCAACTCAGCTGAATTCAACCCAGTGCATTTGTGGAGATGGTTAAAATTGGGGTGGAGGAGGACTACTGCTTTCACACTGTGCCGCTATACCCCAGTGGATCATGGCTCCTCTTGAAGCCATAGATAGCCACTCATTCTGTGCATCTCCCATCCATTTCCTGAGACAAGTTCACCAAAGGTAACCAGCCAAGTTGGGTTCGGGAATTTCCTCATATTCCCTTGATGTCAGAAGGACATCGAGGCAACAAGAAGACCGTCCATTAGTTTTTGTTCTGTCGTTTCAGTCATGTTCAACTCTCCATGACCCCATTTGGTGTTTTCTTAACAGAGATACTGGAGTGGTTTGCCATTTCCCTTCTCCAGCTCAGTTTAGAGATAGGGAAATTGAGGCAAAAAGGGTTAAGTGACTTGCCCAGGGTCACACAGCTAATGTGATTTTATGTGCTTTTAAGCCTTATAAAACTATGAAGTATAACTCTAACTATAGTTATAGCATAGTATAGTATAGCATAGTTATAGTATAACTATAAAATAATGACAGTCAATTTAAAATAAAATAAGACAAAGGAGTGTTATCTCTTCAATTCCTCACCTTGGGCAGGCATATTCATTTTTCCAATGTTTCTTCTATTGCTTAGATAGAACTAGTTTATGAATCAACAACAAAGAAATCTATTTTTTTAATAAAAAATAGTATTTCCCAGATTGACGAAATCTCCCTATTCCCCCACCCCCAATTTTGAATAACTTTCGGTACTTTACAAAGATCAAATTACCTTCAAAGGATGAAAATTTGCCCAATACCAAGGATGTGAGTCCTACTTACTATAGGAATGAAAATAAATTTCCAAAGACATTTGTAAAATATTTTGATCATGGAAGGCATCATTGGAATAAGTTTAGAGTCTTCACAAACTTCTATTTTGAATTAGATAGACCTAATTTGGGTGTATACTTTCTGAGATTTTTACATTTCTATTTTATTCATATAACTATGTGATAACTGGTTTAACCACACACACACACACATACACACACACATACACACACACACGTACACATACACACAGAATTCCATTATCATGTACTCTAGGTTCCAGTCACCGTGGCTTTCTATCCATTCCAAAAAAAAAAAAAGGAAACCCAAAAAAAAGCATAACTCTTCACCTGTCTCCTCTTCCCTAGAAGAGGGGTAGTCAGCTCTGTCATCTCTCTTTTAGCTTTGTGTGTGCAAAAGAATAAATCTGAGTACTTTTAATGAAGGAAGCAAGCCCTTAATATAGTACTAAATCTAGGAGGAAACCTTTTAATATTTTTTTCTTAATAGATAGGGACATCTGTTAGTTTTAAGTCTTAGCTATAGAATTTTCAGAGAGATTCATTACTTCCAGAGGGCGAAGAACACCATAGGGCAATCAACCATATAAGCAGAGTCCACAGGCATTTAATTGGCCTTAAATTACTGTGTTTGGGGCTGAATCACAGTCTACTGGCCCAGACAATTATCTGACTTAGGGCTAGAAAGTCCCTTTTAACTTTCATCAGTTCCCATCTGCCATTCTGCAGCTCTTCAATAATATGCCAAAGGTTGTAGGGGGATCTCAGAACACACAGCTTTTCTTCAATCCTTCAAAATTTCTTGAGTATCCTGTGTAAATAAGAGGGAGGGGAAAGACCAGAAACAAAGATACATCTCAGACCACTACAATTTCTTGTTTAAAATTTCTGCTTTTACAGTGTATATGTGGCCAGTGACAGGCCTCCTGGGCTTTAACCATTTACAACTACAAAATCATCAGTCACATTACTTTGCACATTATATAGTCACATTAATGTTATAAATAAAATCTAATGGAGACTAGTGTCTGGAATTTAATGAGCACAATGAAATTTAATGGAATTAAATGATATGAACTCGGAGAAGGAAAACATAAACTTATAAAAGGTTAGGGAATGACTGAACAGAAGACATAGTGACCATAATGGACCTGACGTTGAATATAAGTCAACAAAGTCAGCACTTTTGATTTTGATTTGGTTTTATTTTTAAAGTTAAATGTTATAGTGTACAAATAGGGGTTGATAATATCATAATTAGCAAACTGTAGCTATTTTCATAATGTACATACAATGTTAAAAAAAAGAGAGAGAGATTAGAAAGAAAAAATAGTTATAATACTATGGGGGGAAAGGACTTAGCCTTCATCTGGTACAGTGAAAAATGAGATAGAGTTGGAGTCAAAGGATATGGTTTTGAATCCTGGCTCAAGACTGTATGTGGGTGAATTTGAAATCAATTAGCTTAATTGGGCCTCAGTTTCCTCATCTGTAAAATAAGGGAATTTGGGATAAATGATGTTTAATGCCCCTTCCAACTCTAAATCTATGACCCCATGTTCCTGGCTAGGCTTGTGTAATATAGAAGATGATGTCTAATTATTTTATCTTTGTTAAGCAACAAAAACAAAAACAAAAAATAAAAAATAAAGAAACAACTAGAAGTGGGCTAAGGGGCAGATATGCTTTATGTTTAATAAATAGAAATCGATTGAGCTGGGATTTTTAACATATTGGAAAATAGGTGCACATAATTCTTTTTATTGGTCTGTTTTATAAGATTTAGCATATAGCTAAAGATGCATAACTTTAGGAAGTAGTAATAATAAAAACAACTGACATTTATATAAAGGTTGAAGGTTTGAGAAACACCTCTCATTCATTATCTCACTTAATCCTTCCAACAATTTTGTGAGTAGGTATCCAACTATTGCTACCTCCATTTTAAAGCAGAAGAGGCTGAGACTGAGAAAGACTGAATGAGCTGCCTATTTTTGCATAGGCAGGATTTGAACCCAGGCTTCTCTGACTCCAGGTCTTGCTCACTAGCCTCTATGCTATGCTATCTTTATGCCATTTACAGGAATCCTAATTCAGAATGAGTTTATCACCTGGCTCTAAGTTTTTACTGGTGCAGACTCAGACAGGTTCTTCCAGGATTCAACCTTTAGGACCTGGTAGGTAGCACGGCTGCCACTCCAGGTGATCCATGCAGAAGCAGCATCTTCGACCTCATTAGCTGGGGTACCTGCTGATAGTTCCAAGTGTCCTCCAGGTTCCTTAAAAAAGTCATCAGTACACTAAGCAAAGCACTTGATCATTTGAGAGCCTGCCAGGGGACATTAACAGCGTTAATTAGATGACCACATCCAGATGTCTCAGGCAATTTCTAGTGACCGTAACACACCATGGCACCTTCTCACTGTCTTTGCTCCACAGAAAACACCAAAGTTAAAACAATTAGACTCCATGACTAGATGGTTTGACAGTCCATCTCAGATGCTATTGGCTTGGCACCTTCAATGGGGTGGGGATGCCACAGGAAGGGGTGGAAGGACTTCATTTGGCATGTGGGAATCCTTCTTTCTGCTTAGCAAAATGTTAGCTCATAAACGTTTCTGATCCCCAGCAGTGGTGTTCTTAACAAAGAAAGCTGACCAGTTAAGCTCAATCCTTAACTGCATCTCTACTTACCAACTCCATACGTCAAGCCCTTGATTAATTTCTCTCTGAGTACCAGACTAGAATAGTATTCCCAAACTTTTCTCAGCCTGCCATCAACCTGTGATCTTTCTGGCACACACCTCCTGTGTGTCAGAGATAGACGATCACAGCCCCATATGCTATAATGGAAATTCCTTTTCTGAATGGCTTTGTTCTAGATGACCATTGAGGTCTCAAATTCTGTGATTCTGGGATAAATCTAGAGCTAGATAGGACTTTGGTGGCAATCTGGTCCTTAATTTGACAGAAGAGGAAACCGAGGCAGGATCAGAGACAAGATTTGAACCCAGGTCCTTTTATTCCAGGGTCAATGATCTTTCCAAATTAAATCATGTATGTAAAATTCTTTGCAAAATTTAAAGTGCTATAGAAATGCTGGGGCAGCCAGGTGGCACGGTAGATAGAGTATTGGGCCTGGAGTTCATATTCAGCCTTAGACACTTACTGGCTGTGTGATCCTGGGCAAATCCCTTAACCTCTGTTTGCTTCAGTTCTTCATCTGTAAAATGGAGACACAATGGAGAAGGAAATGGTAAACCATTCCAGTATCTTTGCCAAGAAAACCCCATGGATGAAGTCGGACGCAACTGAACAACAAAGGAGTGATAGAAATGCTATTATTATTCTGTAATGATATTATTTATAGCATCTTAAAATATTTCAAAATATTATAACAAAATAATGTGTAAATTTATAACATTTTAAACAATAGCTAGCATTTCTGTTGTACTTTAAGGTTTGCAAGATTTTTTACATATGTGATTCCATTCGGTTTTCACAACAGCCCTGTGTTATAGGTACTATTATTATCTCTATTTCACAGATGGGGAAACTGAGGCTGAGAGGTTAATTGACTTGCCCAGGGTCACACAGCTAGAGAGTGTCTGAGACAAACTCAGGTCTTCTTGACTCCAAACCCCATATTCTATACACTGTGCCACATAGCCAATTCATATTATACTCTCTCCCTGATGATGGTGGTTATTCTTATTTAAATATCTCAAAGAATAATGACTCCAAAACTTTCCAGTAAAGAAAGCAGAGAAGCAGTGCTAATTTCAGGAAAGAAAACCTTGGAATGGTGGAAAGAGTGTGGAAGTTGTGCTTGAGACCTAGATTTGAATTCTATGTCCAATATTTAATGGCTATGGACAGGTGGATTAGAAGATATGTCTGAGAATGAAATCAAAGACAAGGTCAGGGAAAGTCCTTTGGTGCCAGTGGCATTTGATTTTACCATTTGTCAAAGAAGTTAATGCAGGTAGTTGGTTACCTGTCATTTGACAACAAAATAGCTAACATTAAAATAGAGTACCTTAGGATCTGCAAAGCATTTAATACATGATATCTTGTTTAATCCTCACAACAACCCCATGAATTAGGTGTTATTATTTTTCTGCATTGTACAGATGAGTAAACCAAGGCTGAGATGTTAAGTGACTTGCCCTGGGTCACAGAGAGCTAATAAATTACATATGTCATGTGAGCAACAAAGCATCAGATTAGACATTTTCTTCAATCCTCACAAGCTTTCCCAAACAGAAACTATGCCCTAAAGGTAAAGCAACTTGAGCTTTTTTGATGGTCTAGGACATGATAAAAAAAAAAAAAAGATTTTATAAATCCCCTCAAACCCAGGAACTGATGATCACTGACCCTGGGCTCACTCAGTACTACTCCCTTCCCTGTCATGCTACTTGAAGCCAGGCTACATTAGCAGACCTAAGGACAGGCTTATATCAAAACCCATTTCTTCACCCCACCCCTCTCCCTCTTGCTAGTGCCATGGACACTCCAGCTCTAGGCTATGGATATTTTCTTGTGCCTGATAGCCAATTTGGTCACACATAGCCCTTTAGAAGCAAAAGCCTGCCAGGGCCTGTGACCAAGAAGCATTGGTGCCAGGGAAATCAGTATCTGCTAGTAACAGGGAAAACAGGTTCTGGACTACCAGTGCCAGAGCAGAGAACTGAGGAACAAAGAGTGGGACAGATCATCATGGCAGGACATAGTAAATATGGAAATCTGTGCAACACCACACCAAACCTGAGAAAAGACCAGAGCATCCAGCTAGGGTTAGTTATGACTACCCAAAAGTCACTTGGGGTAAAGACCTAGATTGTGAACCCTGAAATGCCCACCTTGGGAAGAGGTTGAGATACTTTGAGATTCAGCCCCTAAGGAAATCACAATCAGAAGGGAAGGAGTTTAAAAGTGAATGATAAGGTCACAAAGAGTTAGACATGATGAAAAAATGACGTAACAACAGTGACTTCCTAACTCTAAGGTCAGCACTTAGAGAGATAAAGACACAATGATCCTCATTGGTCAGAAACTATGGTGCTGTGAGATTGTGGCAACTAGAAGATAGCACAGAAGGAAGAGTTTCCACTCTTGGAACAGGTAAAATGTTCCCATCTTGAAGCAGAGATGGGTACCAGAATCTGAAGAGGAGAGATGCAGAGGTGCTAAGACTGCCAGGTATTGTGCATACCATGAGGATGGTGAGTTGGTAAAGCCTGTTTCCCTATCTTTATCACTTCCCTTTGTTTCCAGTTCATGATCCTAAGAAAAGGAGTAGATGCTTCTCCCTCTATTTCTTTCCTGCAAGCCCCTGGAGAATGTGGTCAGTATTTCCCCTGGATCCCCCTAAAATTTAGGAGGACAATCTAAGATAAAGCCAGCAGGTGGTTGGTGGGAAAATGTCTCAAATAAGCATATTTGGCCTAGTTCTTTTTCACTTGATTTAAATAAATAATAAACTTTTGTATCATAGCATGATAAATCTCAGCATCAGCAATGGGCAGTAAACTGAGAAAGCAGAACCCAGATCAGTGAGAGTTCATAAGCTAATTACAGGCAGTGGTTTTAATGTTTTGAACAATATTCCATTTCCATATCTAGGCTAATTTCAGATCCAGGCAGCCATGGGTTAATCCAAACCTTAGGGCAACATAAGTTTGCAATAAGCTTTTAGAACCTGAGCAACTTCAGTGACCAGTAGGGATACTACAGCCTTTTGGGAAAGGCCCATCTCCTGCAGGTGCCATAGAGAAGTGATTCTTAACCTTTTTTATGTTGTGGACCCTTCCGCAGTCTAGAGAAGCCTATAGACCCCTTCTCAGAACGAGGTTTTTAAATGAGACTGAAAAAATGCATAGGATTGCAAAGGAAGCAAAAAGTTAGTAATAATAAAAATTTACTTTCCAATACAGGTTCATGGGCCCCTAAAATCCATCCACAGGACTCCTTGAGGGTCTAAGAATGCCAGGTTCTGAAGTTCTGCTATGGAGAGCAATTGACAAAACCTAGCTGTTAGCTCAAGTAGAGCACCATCTGGTGGGCAATTTAGACCTTGAATATAATAATAGACTGTTCTGAAGTTTAAGAAAGCCTGACATCACCTGAGCACAGGGCCCCGAGTTGGGGCCAGTGTTACATATCATAACAGCCTGTAATTGAGGCTTTCCAATTAAGAGTTAGCTTTTCTCCTCTTCTCCCTCCCTCCTTTCCTCCATTCTTCTCTTCTCTTCCTTCCTTATCTTCCTCCCTCCTTTCTCTTCCTTTTGTCCTTCTCTCCTTCCTTCCTTCCTTTCTTTCTTTCTTTCTTCCTTCCTTCCTTCCTTTCTTTCTTCCTTTCTTTCTTCCTTCCTTCCTTCCTTTCTTTCTTTCTTCCTTCCTTCCTTCCTTCCTTCCTTTCTTTCTTCCTTTCTTTCTTCCTTCCTTCCTTTCTTTCTTCCTTCCTTCCTTCCTTCCTTTCTTTCTTCCTTTCTTGCTTCCTTCCTTCCTTCCTTCCTTCCTTCCTTTCTTTCTTTCTTTCTTTCTTTCTTTCTTTCTTTCTTTCTTTCTTTCTTTCTTTTTCCTGTGTTTCTTCCTTCCTGCCTTCCTTCCACAGAATGCAGTCGCAGGTGTGATTTTATTCATGTAGAAAACCTCCAGTGTGAAACCAGCTTCCACCAGTAAAAATCAACAGTATTTTTCTAAGTTCTAGCCTCTGAGAGTTGGACAGTGGAAGGACAAGCCCAAGGTGACAGGGACAGTATGTGTCAGAGGCAGGACTTGAGCACATTTTCCTGACTTCAAAGCAGAGACTTTTGTGCCTTGCACCATCCCAACTCTAAATATCCATAAGAAAAGGACAAACAAAAGAAATACAATCCAAATGTTTAAATTTCAGCTAGGTCAGCAATGCGTCATTACAGACAGATTTGTACAAATAAATACAATAATTTCCATTGGTTTCCTTTATCTTAGTCTTCATAGAAAGTTTGGGGGAGGAGACCCTTTTGTTGTGTCTGCTACTTAGGATACATTTGCTTCTCCATGCCTATCAATATGCAAAAATTTCTGGGAATTAGGGATAGAATAAAGATGACAAGGAGAATGATAATTATTTTATCACTTCCCTAATTATCATATACCAGTAAATTGAATTTTAGCTAATAAGGCGATTTCAGGCTCACACCCCCACCCTCCTAAAGCTAATTTAATGATTGTATTAAAAAATGAAAACCTATTCAAATTAAAACACCCATAAGCTAAAAAGGAGAGGGAA